CCCTAGCGTACGAGTACAAGAGTACGAATCTGTACTCGTACGAGGGTGCGTACAAGTGGCAACGTAGAGAAAACTTAAGAAAGGAGAACTCAACTGGCGGAACAGGTCTAAAACGACCTTAATCTTCCTCCCACATGCGACACTCCTATCTCTAACCACAATAGCCTCACACTCCTAAGCCCAACAAATCAAACAGCGAATCTATCGAAACCCTCTACTAATTTAACCAACCAAAGGGGATAACACCACCCAAGCTGCCTGCCTCCTGCGGCAATGTATAACCGAGTGTCCTGGTTATTGAACCCAATGCTACTTCAACCATCAACAAAACTCTAACTTTTCGTCTGAATTCACAGTGACCAACCAATTTGAGCTCTTTCCCTGACCCCAAGTCCTACCAAACCATCTGAAACCTTTCCCAACTGACAAATTATTGCTATTCCTTCTATTCCAATCCGCCTCTATGTAATACTTCAATCTCGTACGAACACTAAACTTAACCTCCGTGTCCGAGGTACCTCTACCCTGGAACACTGCCCCATTTCTCATGTCCCAAATCACCGAAACGATGATCGCTCTACAGGCTTGAACCACATAACCAACACCTTCCGAGTGGCACAAATTGTCTGGGAGGAGCCCTGTTAGGGCCCAGATATGATCCCATTCCCAATCCCATTCCCAATCCCAAGCCGCAAAGTCTTTCCAATGCACTGCCCACCATTCCCAAATTCTTTTTGAGGCAGGACAATCCCACCACAAGTGGGATGTGCCTCGAAAGGCCAAACACAACGTTTACAACTGAGCTGGATTTGCAGGCCTTTGCCTGCCAACCAAACAGCTGAGGGTATGACCAACAACGACAGCTGCCATAGGATGGCTGCATGTTTCTGTGACGGTAAGATCTTAAGTTGCACCCGCAGCCTTTTGATAGATACCAGTACTTTGTCGCCCAACCCTAGTAACACTTTTTCCCATCTTTCTGCTGCAACCACTGCCGGTTGTCTGGGAGGCAGAAGGAGCTCAAATGTTGCCCTCATTTCGTCCAGAGGCAATGTCGAGCCATGTTTACCTAGACCTCTCCAACCCCATGCTCCTAGGTCCAACCTCCGTAGTGATATCGGCAAGTCCAACCGAGAGACCACACATTGTCTGTCTTTCTCCTCCCAGCATTCCTACACTCTGACTTGTTTCATATTCGTGCCAACAGGCCTCGAAGAATCCTCCGGGTCCAGAAGTAAGCGATGTGTGCCCTCCTGTTTCACCCACTTCTGAAATGTCCGGTCCCCACCCACTGACACACTTGTCAACTTCCAGTATTCTGGCTTTGATGTAGAGGCACTAGTTATGTACCACGTACCTGGTGGGTCCATCACCTCTGGTTCCAGGAGATAATGCCAAGCTTGAGGAATTGCCTGAATTAACTTGTCCCTTTTCTCTCTTACAGAGTGGAGACCTGACAATTTACTCCGAAGAGCATCTTCTGTTAACCAATTATTAGACAGAGGATCCCGCAAGTCCCGAATTCGGAGAACCTCTTTTTTGATCCATGCATCACCAAACGAACCGGATGCACGATTGGCTCAAAATCTGTTACCTTTCTGGTCACGCACCGCTGGATTATCAAAAAGAGGTTGATTCAAGACTTCTTCCTCGGTTACAGGAGCTACCCACATATCCGGCTTAACCTTTCTCCATGACTTGATAATATCTGACCACAGTTTAGACCGTATCCTCCTGCTGAGGAATGAGTCAAGTTGGAGGCATAGCCAAACGTCCTCTTCACGTTCCAGTTCCCATTCCTTCGCTAATATGTGCTCTCCCAATAAGACCCAGTGATCAGAGTCATCACTGTTGATTGCTTTAAGTATCCAACCAGCCAATTGCAGACTATTATGCCTTGCAGGATCAGTAATACCCAGTCCGCCCTCATCTCGTGGTTGGGCCAATAATTCCCAAGCCACCTTAGCTAAACAACCTTCTTCTGGCTCTGCAGAGGGCTTCCACAGAAACTTTGTGGACAATCTCTTAGTCTGCATTATCAAGGATGAACTCAACAGGCGGACAAAACCCGCAAAACTCAGTAAGGACATCAACGAAGTATTGATCACCAAGGCTCTATCGAAAAGAGAAAGGTGAGGAGTTGAGCCCCACGACCGTCTTTTGCTTACTAGTCTGTTCTGCAAGATTTCCTCTTGCTTGTCTTGACAGGCTTCCATAGCAACCATAACTCCCAAAAACCGTTCGGCTTCACCTCTTTTGACCCGTTTCATGCCCCACTCCATGAGTGGGGAAGAAAATAGACAGACTTGTGCCAGTTTACTGCAGCCTCCGAAAATCGCGAATACTCATCCAGCAGTTGCGTAAAAGCCTCCAAGGAATCAGGGTCGTTTGCACAGACCACGAAAAGGTCATCTGCCAAGGCCTTCACTTTGCATTCACTGTCTCGGAAAGCAAGGCCCACAATCTCCAGCTGGCGTCTGATGTTCGAGGTTATCACTTCCAGTTGGAGGACGAACAAGAGAAGTGCCAATGGGCAACCCTGCCTCAACGAACTCGTAAGATGGAAAGAATCCGACAGGAAGCCGTTAACCATTACCGTCGCCGTGGCTTGAGTGTACAGTGCCGCAACCCACTTACATAAATTATCCTTAAAACCCATATGGCACAATGTGGTCAGCACAAAACTCTAGTTAACCCGATCATAGGCCTTCTCTAGGTCTAACAAAAGGACCGAGAAAGGTCTGTCTTCCACTTCAACAATCTTCAGAACTTCAATCGCGGTAATTATGTTATCGAAAATAGATCGTCCCTGCACAAAGGCAGCTTGGTCCCGCCCAACCAAACGCGGTAGATAATTGGCCGATCTCTTAGCTAATGCCTTAGCTAAAATCTTATATGAGACATTCAATCTTGAGATCGGCCTCCAATTTCTGATCTCATCACTTTCCCTTTTTTTATAGAGTAAGGTGATCACCCCATGGCATAGGCTAGATGGCAAAGCATCCCCAACTAGGACATTGTTATAGAACTGTAACAAAGGTTACTCCAGCTCAGTCCAAACCGATTCGTAAAACTCTACAGTCATACCATCGGAACCAGGTGCTTTCCCCTTTGCCATAACTTTTATAGCCTACCTAAGTTCCAAATCTGTGATTGGTCTGTCAAGACTCAAGCGACCTTCCTGTGACAATCTAACGTCAACCAGGTCTAAGAGATCAGATAGGTGGGCTTGACCAGTTTCCTGGTCAAGCTGGCTGCACCGTGATGTTAAAATATCTCTGAAATAAAGTTCCGCATAGCAACACATATCAGTTCAAGTACTTGCCACCGGTGCCGATTTATTAAACGGATGTTGAAGTGATTTCATTTCCTTTTGCTGAGACCGCGGTAATAACCGTTGAAAAGTGGACTTCGTCATCCTGTCCCCCGATACAATGCCCTTGATAGATAAAATTTCTGACCACCTCTCCGACTTAGCAATCTGAAAGTCGTCTAAACACTGCAACCTGCCAACTCGCTCCTTACTTCACCAGGAAGTCTTAAAGGACCTTGGTGGGAACTGGGCAATCGCAGACTCAGCGTCCTGCACCAACTTTTGGAGCTTGGCTTCCTCCTTATTGAGTTGTAGGGCCCTTATTCGCGAAAAGACATTAAGCATGTCTGAAATAAAATACACAAATGCATCCCACCAATCCCTTTCCGACGAAAACAACTGTTTCCTTTTCGACCATAACTCCATCTGATCAATAACCCATTGTCTCAATCCTGGGTCCCGAATGACCAGATCATTCAATCTGAAAATTCCCTTTCCCCTTTCAGGACCTTCTCCCCACAGGAATTGGAAAATCACAGGGTTATGGTCAGAAAAGGGTCCTGGTTGTGCCCTACTAGAAAGAAGTCTAGACGACGTGGAGCTACCCGGCGACCCGACTCAAGCTGAGACGAGTACCAAGTGTATCCTGGGGTGGTAGGATTCGTTGACCTGTATGGGCCTGTCAAATCTAGCTCCGACATCACTTCAAGCACCGCATCCAAATCTTTATCGGGTTTACCCTCACTGAATAGTGGGTTTGCATCATCCAAAGCGACATTCCAATCCCCTGCTATAATAAGATTATCCACCCCCGGCAGGTAGTCCTTTAGTCTATCAAAGAAATTCACCCTCTCTGTGTGTACAGCTGGCGCATAAATAGTAGCAACAGCCCATACCTCCCCTCCTGTCGAGAACTTAATCCACGCCCACTTACCTAGCTGATCAAAATCGTAATCTTCAATACTTGCATCCAGGTTGCGATGGACCAGAATTGCCACTCCCCCTCTGGATTCCACAGCGGGAGCCCAAATCTGCGGTCCATCCCACCATGCGCCCAATCCTGCAACTTTACCTTCATCCAACTTCGTCTCCTGAATGCATGCAATCTGAATTTTATTAAAGTGAATCCATGATTTCAGCCTGTTCTTCTTCCTTCGTCCCCCAGTATCCCCCAAACCCCGAACATTCCACGTGGCAATTTTAACCTTATGCATCACCTACTCCCCTTCCCTGCCCTGATTAGATCTGGAGAGAAAGAATCTGCGAACAAGAGGGAATAGGGCCGCTGGCTGTTGACGTACCAGTGTCCCACCTTTGCGTGAGGCGATTGTAAAACGCTGGAGAGGAGAGAGAACGCAATTTCGGAAGCTTCGTGCTAATATTTCCCAAGACCGAAGCATCGATGTCCCCCATGATTTTGATCCTGGACAACTCCGGATGGTCCTCTTTTGGCAGCCGATCCAAAGGAAAGAGCGACAGACCACTTCCGACCAAACGAACCAGAGATTCCTGTGATATTCTAGCATCAATTAGTGGAGTAAAAAACTTCAGTCTAACTCCAGGCCTTTCGACGAAGATTCTCAGAGTAGGGATGTCCGGGACATTTCTTACCGCAATGTCGCTGCCAGTGTTGACGATCTCCAGCGGTAGGGGCGGATTCACTATCGGCTGAGAGGGAAGCCTCGTTGCCGCTGATGAGTCCGTTAAAGTTTTCGTCCACGCGAGGGTATATACGCCCTCCTGCGTTGCCACAAAAAGGAGCGGGATAAGATACTTCGCCCATTCACGTTCCGTGGCCTTCCCCTCCACCGGCTGCCTACTTCTCTTCCCGATTGCGGTAGCTTCCTGTCCCTGTTGAGTGCTTCCATCCCTCCGTAGTGAGTGCTCCTCCAGTTCTTGAATACGCAGTTCCCCCATATTCTCACTGAGCCTGCGACGCAGCTTCGTAGGCGTCAACCTTGAATCCGCAGCCTCATGTTTTGAACCCTGAGCCATATCCAAATCTTCCACTTGCGAAGAGGAGGATGCTTTTCCCCTCTCCTTACACCTTCGGACCGCCTCTGGGTCCTCGCGTTGATTCCTCCTTACAGCGTTGAGCAGGGCTTCCATACCCCCCAATCCTTACGAGAAAGTAGGGTTCTCCCTAAACGAAACATCCTGGGACGGGCCATGAGAGGATCCACCACCAATCATACCCGGAGCGAGCTTCCCATTATACGTGGGATACTTCCTCCGTTGCTCCTCTGACCTAGCAGACCTCCGAGATCTTGTAGATCGTCCACCCGAACGACTTACCGGAGACGACTGCCTCCCCCCATGACTAGGTTGGGGACTGCTCGGCTCCGTATGCCGGCCTCTACCTCCACTAGGCTGTGTACTTGACGCCGTACTCGAAGATGAACTTGGGGTTGGACTTTGGTGGCGTGTTGGACTTGAGTTACCACGGCGAGCCGTACGTGTACAGTCAACCGCAAGATGAAAATAGCGCCTGCACGTGCTGCACCACGGGGTAAGTGCATTTGCCACCTTCAACTCGATGGGTTGGCCCTGAAAAGTGGTGAAGGAGATTAGCTCCTTAACTCTTGGTAAAAATTCCACATCGATATCCATGCGGACGTTGATCAATCGAGGAGTACGTGCATCCTTCTCGGACGGATACACCTTCTGTACCGTGCCGATTGCCTGTTCCACCGCTGATTCCAGGTAGCAATACGCATCCACCGGCACATCCAGTATCTGAACCCAAAAATAATTCCTCTCTGCTTCGTTCTTTGCTTCCGGAATCTCCACGTTGGTCATCCAAGGTTTGAAGATAATACGGTGCCATCTCCCACGAAGTGAGACTCGAGCCTCCTGCTCCTCTAACATCCACTCCACCACCTTCCTGTCTTTCCCAACGTACGAAAGCACGTTGCTGGATTCAATACACACGCGGCCCCTGGTGACCGATGAATCAAACCTCCCATCACCCATTCAAATATTTTCATAAGCTCTGATTACATCTTCCTTCATATTTTTCGGCAGATTTTTGGAGCCTTCCTGGAAGATTACAGTTACCGTCCTCTATTTCAACCACTTCACTTTAATTTCATCCAACGAAGGATTCAACGTAAAGTGAGCGTTCTGTCCCTCCACCTTCATTTCACCTATGTCCCACCCTGATGGCAGCATGCCAGCGTCAAAGCATCTCGATAGCATCTCCCTAACTCGTTCCTCTTCAATCCAATAATTCGTTTGCGAGGGAGGGTGGGAACGGTTTTGCTTGTCCCTTTCCTCCTCCCCTCCAACTTGAATGCCTGGCGTGGTAGCTACCTCTTCCGCCCCAACCATGCCAATATCTCTGCCCCGAGGAGGTGCAGCATCCGCTGACGCCCTCTGATCCTCGTCAACCTCCATTGTTGACCTGTTGACTCACCCCAAAGCCTACTCAAGCTTTACTCAAATCAGCAATGAACACGAGATACCTTTCGGTACTCCCAATGCCCTAGAAGTTCCTGATTAGATTCTCCCGAACCCGAAATTGAAGGTTCAGTTATTAACTCCTTAGCTGATACATCCATCGCCAGTAATTAACCGCCAATTGAGTGAATATGCCGATCTCTACGGGCGACCTGGGGCTAGCCTATCAACACTGTTGAGTCAGACATGGCTGAACTTCACGTGCAAGAAGACTCACGTATACTACCATGGCGGCAGGCCGTAAGCGGCTAGACCAGCATTCGCCGGTAGCGGCGGGACTGAGCGCTATTTTAGCGTCGTGAACCGACGCACCCCCAACCCCCCATTCTCTTTTTTTTTGGTTTCGTTTCAATATTTTTTCCATCCTTTCGAAGCATTATTTCTAAATTATCAGTAAACTTCATCATTTTTTTCAGAGTTTGCCTTCTGGTGAGGGTAGATGTACTCTGTTTCCAGCAAGAGCTCGAAGTGGTTAATGGCCCCAATTTAAAAAGGACGGAATTCAGATATCGCCAGTGAACTGGCCTGCCGCAGGTAATTGAGAATAACTCAGTTGGGGGCTTGCCACATCACTCTCTTATTGTGAAATAGTCGAAAGTGTGGCGGGTGCATCTGCAGTGGCCACGTTTTGGAGGGAAGTATATACTCATTTTGCATTTTTCAAGACGCGAGAGAGGAATGAGCCCTTGTCAGACATACACATGTTAGGCCCTCAGCAAGCCATGTGCCCGCTGTAAGTGAAGGCAGGCCTGAATATTAAAAAGAGGCCTGGCCAACATTTGACATTTTTCCATACGTGGGCACTGCGACAGTTGCAGCATGCAAGTTAGTAACAGGGAAACACAAGCCTCCAGGCAGGCTCTTTTCAGAAACAAGGGCTGCGCTGCACCTATGAGCGGCATCATGAGCCCATTTCCGCTTTTTCCAACTGGGGGCCTGACATTACCGCTCCTCCCAGTTATTTTTTCCTTTCTGAACTAGGCTCCTTCCGTCTGTGCCATTTCGTGTTTTTTTCGCCTATTCAAACTCAAAACCTGTCGCGTCTGCCGTTATTTCTTCTTTTTTTTTTTAAACAACGGCGGACGCGGCATGTTTTGAGTTCCTAAAGGCACCAAAAACAGGCCTTCAGCGACTGTGTCAGCGCCTGAGTTCGAAAAGGCGTTCGTAACTCAGGCCGATGGTGGTGTCAGGG